AAATTACAACCATACCGAATTCAATGCATACTCATATAACATGCTAGGAAAACTCACACATAAAATTCCCTTCTTGATTTATGATAAAATGCAGTAGAGCAGCGGAATCAATCAACCCATCCTATTAGAAAAACTGGGTGCAAATTCTGATCTCTGACCAGCTGTTCAAATCTTAAAACAATGTTATATAAGCTGGCACTATTGGGGAAAAAGGTTGTGACAGTAAAGCAGAGGTGATAAGGACTGAAATTGCATACCTGAAAGTCGATAACATGATCGACGAAGCTATTGAGAGTTTGGTGTGATTCGAATCACAGCGTGAAACGTCGGTAGAGAGCGATTTTTCGTTTTGTTCTTCTTTTTTTTTGGTTGGAAGAAGAGTTTAGTCTTGATTTTTTTTGGGGGGGGGGAGGAATTAAAGAACCAAAACGCACCGTTTTTAGTTGCCCTGCAGTGTCACGTTCTCTTGTTGCCTCTTATCGCACATTATGCAAATGAGTATATTATTGTTCTTGTCTAATTCTAATTTTTCAAAAATTAAATTAAAATTTTTGTATAAATTAACTCATCAAATTTTTGAAGCATTTAATAGACTCTGATTTTAAATAATTATTAAATATATGTCACTAATTATATAATCTGAAATAATAATTATATTAATTAATTATATATTTTAATTACAAAGAATAAATTTTTTATTTCTAAAAAAATAAGACGTTTAATTGTAATTATAAAAAAAGTACTTTTTAACAAAAATTAGTCAATTGTACTAATTAAATAACTAAAATTAATAATTTGTTCTATGAACTAAATGTACTATTAATAAAATTTTTAATTAATTATGCATTTTTAGTTATTTTACTAAAATTCTTTGATTAAATATTTTTAATTTTTACAATAGTTGTATCAGATAATTAACAAAATTTTTAATTAATTTAATTAGTATATAAATTTTTTTATTATAATTTACTTTTAATATATATTTAAAGAGGTAATTGAAACAAATATAATCTGATCCAAAAAAATTCCCAGAATCAGAAAGTCGAAAGGCATCATCATCAACAAAATTATTACACCACAAAATATATTTGATTATTCCTTCTCAGTTCCACAAATACAGGAACTGAGCATTAATTCCCTTCCCCCCCCCCCCAGTATCAACCCTTTCACCATAGCCAGCTGAGCTCTCCTTACAATCTCGCTTTCGCCACCACCACCCTGCCATCTCCCATGTCCGTGGCTCCCGGCCTCGTCCATGTTTCCTTGAATTGCTCCTCTGTAACTCCTGCATTCACACATACAAGTGATTAGAACTTGATGAAAATTAATGGCAATATCTCAAACCTCCTAAACAATTCATGGGAATAAGGCAAACCTTTGCCCATGGCGGCGGTGGAAGAGATGCCTCCCTGAACTGTCTTCAGGTATCGATCATAGTAGTTTGCACCTGACCATTTTTGATGAGCAAGTGTGTCAACTCCATTGTTTCTTTCCTCTCTTTGGATTTTCTCCACATAAGCCAGCATTCCCCGCCGGGCAAAATCTCTGGCGAATGTGTCGACGACCAGAGCATCGGCGTGGAACCCTGCCAGCGTAATGAATTGCCAGCAAAACCCTAACTTGGCAATTCTGGGAATGAAATCCCGCATTTGCTCATCGGTCATTCCCGACGCATCCCAGTTGAAAGACGGTGAAAGATTGTAAGCCAACATGATCTCCGGTTGCTTTGATTTCACACCCTCTGCAAATTTTGTGCACTCAACCAAGTCTGGGCTCGAAGTTTCCATCCAGATGAGATCTGCATGAGGAGCGAAAGCCCAGCCACGGACAATTGCAGCCATTACAGACCCTTTAAACCGGTAGAAACCTTCTCTGGTTCTTGGTAAATCCCAGTCCCAGAAAAGATTGTTCAGCCCCATTCTGTCTGCAATCTCTCTAGCTTGTTCGTTGGACAGACACATATCGAAACTAGAATGGTTCGTCCACTCATTCAGTCTCCGCCTCTTTTCATCCTCTCCAGCATTCGTGTTTCTGATGGCGTCCATCACACATTCAGAGAAAGTCTTGAGTCCCGCCATGGATATCCAGTTATCCTCAATGGCTTGAAGCTCAGCCCCTGTTTTACCAGCAGCCATGGCTTCAGCCAAAAGAGTAGCCAAGCTTCTGCCTCTCAGATTCGGATTTGTTGCACCCAAAATGAACTGATGGTCTCTCGTATCCACATTGGTTTGAATCAGATTAGCTGCAACAGCATCAGTTCTAGCCACCAGCACAGTCTCCACACCCATCACGTCGAACTGCAACCTCGCAGCCACAAGCCTGTTAATGTGCTCGCTAACAGCAACCAGCACCTTACCAGCCATGTGGCCGCATTTCTTGGTTACAGAAGACTGGTCCTCGATGTGAACTCCGGCAGCTCCACGTTCAACGAAAAGCTTGCAGAGCTTAACAGTGGCCGTGGTGCCACCAAAACCGGTGTCACCATCAGCTATAATCGGCTTCAAGTAATCAACATAAGGAGTTCTAGCTCTCTCCTCGCGGCTCATGCTCATTCTTGCCTCTCTCTGTTTGCGGTCATGGTACTGTTGTGCGAAGAAAAGATGCTCGACCTTGTTTGGGACAGTGTCATAAGGGTAGTCGGCAAGGTCTGGACCTGGCTCGTTGGTAGTGGTGTGAGTTGAGGAGCACTGCCAACCAGACACGTAAATGGAGTCAAGGTGCTTGGCCATCATGGTTACTTGAACAGGGTCAAGTGCACCGAAAGTCCTGGAGGCTGTGCCGTTTATTTGGTGAATTTTGAGAGTTCTCCATAGTTTCTTTGCCATCTCGTTCGAACCATAGCCTTGTTTGAGGTTTCCTCGTAGAGCCACGACGTCTCTAGCTGAATATGGTCGCCGGGTTAGCCTGAACCTCTCTGAGTTCCACCATGCCTGCACTTCTGCAACTTCAGCTTCAAATCTCCCTTCTTCTTCCATTATCTGTTGATGAAAAAGGTTACAACTTTTCTCAAGATTAACTTAAACGATTCCCAATATATAAAGAAAAAAATACAGAAGAGTAATGTGGTGTTTCATATACGTGTGTGTGTGTGTGTGTATATATAATTACCACTGAAGGAACAGAGAAAGATGCAGCCATGGCCAGAACGTTTACGTGTTTGGTTAAGGAAACTGTGTATAAAAGTAAGAGAAGTTCATGCAATGGGCTCTCCAAAGCTCTCAATTTATATAAAGCTATGGATTCATTTACCCCTCTGAAATATTAATTTCACCGAAACCGATGCGCCCCCCCCCCCCCTCTGTGGATAAGGAGCAGAAAGAAGAAAATAAAGGAAATTATTAAAAAACTCACATAATTAAATTTTAGATAGTAATTTAATAATTTAAAGGGATGTAAATGATGAATTAAAAGTTTTTAGTTTTAGATTGCGGCGATATTGGGTTGCCAAAATGTGCAAGTGGACAACAGGTGGGCAATTGAAGTAGAGACACGTCGTCGTTTTACGAATGCGAATGAAACCGATAAAACAGACAGTTTAGAGTCCCAAGGAGAAGTTTGGAAGATAACCCTATCTCATCCTTTTTATAACTTCCTCTTCCTAAATTCTATCCTCAAAACCAGGAATTCTGAAAACTTACTTCCTTACATTTTATATATTATAAATTTAAAGTTAAAATTTAACTTAGTTTTATTCAATTTCTCTTGATATTCTAATACAAAATAAAATTTGTTGAGGTTTAATTTTCTAACGAAATTATTATTATTATTTTTTTAATGAAAAATAATAAAATTTATTATGACAAATTAAAGACGTCACTTGAGTTTGAGTTTTGTCGGATAGTTTTGGCGGTGTGGATAAACATGGATATAATATTTATGTTATTTGGCTAATGTATGTATATTTCGTCACTAAAGGCATTTTAGAATATAAAAACCGAGAAATTAATATCTTAATTGATTTAATTTTGGTTTTAAATTAAATAATTATACGCGTTAAAGTAATAATTCTATATATACCACAAGCCAAAATCAAATTTTTTAAAAAAAAAAAAATGAAAATTTTAATTTGTTAAAATATTATATATTAATTGAAAATTAAAAAATGTTAATTTTTCTTGGATGAGGGTCCTAGCCCAATCCAATCTATTTAGCACTTCGAGGAAAACCATTCGCATTTTTCATTTCATCAAAATAATATTTGTGAAAAACTAACAGTTGTTATCATGAATATATTATTTATTATTATTTTAATATTAAAAATATGGATTGAATTTTTTATAAACTAAAGTGAGAATTTGTGTAAACCCAAACACCACTAACTAAAATATTAATTATTTGTATCTTGATATTTTAGATGGTGCTTAATAATTACATATCTCAATAATTTTTAGGAGTGAATTTAAAATATTTGTGAAATTTATTTTTATTTTTTAATTAAAATAAATTAAGAATTGACAAACAAATCCGGTTCAAGATCTGTATTTATTTTTGAATCAAACCCATATGAAAAGATCCGCAATGCCCTTGAATTCGGACGGTGTGTTGTTTAACTTTAAATTCAGACAGATTCTTCTTAGCATGTACTTAATAAATGATTAATAACAATTTACATAATCATATCATAATACCCAAAAAAAGTAGGAAACAAACAACTACAGGTGTAATAAATCTCATACAGCCAAACTTTTCCCCCCAATCAAACGAAAGAAAAAGAAAGAAACCCCAAATTTTGCAGCTCTTAATTAAATTAAATTATCAAGATTTTGATATTCATTCGCTCGTTGAATACCTTGAATTCCAGTAATTCTCAATCTCCTCTGCTGTTCTTCCAGGAATTCTCCCAGCAATCAGAGACCACCTAATTTATTTTTTCAATTTTACATTTTCATAGTAATTAGTAATTAATAGAATTATCTCCTTATTTTCTTTAATTATATTAGCAAATCAACGAGAAAGATAAAATTTATGACAATCCCACCTCTCACCGACCAAATTATACATCCTGACAATCAGGGTTTCTTCATCCTCGGAGAACTCAAGCTTAGAATCGTGGCTGGAATCTTCTGTCACATCATAAGTTCATCACAAAATTCAAATCACAACTTGAGATCAGAGGAAGACAGATATAAACGCACAAAGCAATTTTTCCAAAGTTCCAGAAGGTATTTGCGAATTCAAAAGACGGGGGAGGGGGGGAGATTTGTCGATGACGAAATGTGTTTTTTTTACCTATAGAATCCACGGAAGTGTCGTCTGAAAAGTGATCGGAGTCAGACATCAGTACTCGGAGCTGATGATGAAAAAGAAGACTTAAAAGAAAAAGGTGTTTTGAGGGGAGGAAGTGTGCGCGTAAATGGAGGAGCTGAAAGTAATATTAATAGGAGAAAAGAAGATTTGGAGTGGAGAAGACTGGAGGGTATAGAGGAGAAAGAAGAATGGTAGTTGATGGGGTTTGTTTGTTTGTTTGTTTTGGTCCAAGTTTGATCGGTTGTTGAAAAATTTTCTTCAAGTGTTAGTTAGCATAGTTTATACATCTTTTTTATGATAATAATTAATTATAAATTACTAATTATTTACAAACGGTCGAATTTATAAATTATTATATATATATATATATTTACAATTTTAAACAGAAAACTCATGCACACCAAAATTTTGAGATATGATGGGTAAAGTTTGTTTAATAAGTGAATTTTATATATTTATGAAATATATATATATATATACAGTGTTATAACTTATCTAAATATCAAATTTGAGGTGCTATAACTTCCTCATTTCCGAAGAATTTATCAGGTGAAACCTCTGAAAACTTTTTACTTTAATCTTATGGCATCTCTTTCAATCTTTTTCAATATAGTTATTAGATTTAATTATATTTGTTATTATGTAATTCAATGTCGAGTTGAAGTAGAGATTCTTCATAACCCACTACTAGGAAACTCGCATAAAGCTAAACAGAAGCTGTGTAGGACACCATGATCGTGGCAGAATTCATAATAACATTAAAAAGAATCTGAAGCTTACTTTTTATTCTCTTGAGTTCTCAATCCAAATGTCCTCTAAAGTAAAACTTGAAGAGCAAAAGATAAAAAAAAAATGAGAGGATCAAGTTGAATGGGAGGCCTAGGTTTGGCTTTTTAAATGCCGGATAATGAAACATTATTGGCCAACATGTATAAATACAATGATCACATCTATGATTTCACATATACAAGGATATATCTGGAGAAAGATACTGAAAATGTAAACAAAATTTCCATGCTTGAGCTAGAAGTTACATGGGGCTGTACTCTAACCTTGAGGATGTACTCAGTGAATAAAACTTCGACATGCTGAATTGAGTTGGAACATCACCTGAAATTGCTCCGGATACCGGACCATGTCGATGCCAATCCAATTCGAGAATTTACCAGCAGATTGATTGAAAAAAAAAAAAAAAAGAATCAAACAGGCCCTGGTAAACCTTGGACTTTCATCATACAAGAATATTTTGTGGGAGTACTTACACCAGCCTCTGTGCACAGTGCCACCACTGCAGGAGCATGCCCGTAAAAGTCCCGGCCTTCATTCAAAAGAACCGGAGGATCCTGAGGCCGGCGTATCCATACAGTTCTTGGAGGCATCAAATCATCTACATTTGCCTTCTTCCAAAAATGGGTTCCTCGCCAACTCTCGTATTTAAACACTCCGCAAAGCCGTGCCTTGTGGCCACTTGGCCCTACATGAACTTCAGAACAGTGCTTGCATACCTTTGCTGGATAAGTTAATAACAACTTTTGCACGCCAGATCTAAGAGTCTCCCATGCTTTCAAAGTGCCCGTGGCTATCAACCTCACCTCATCAGTAGACAGAGATTCAACTCCTTCAATGCCACAGGAATCATTGTTGGTATTCCAAGGGCTGGAATTTAATGTTTCAATGTGTGGATCTGCTCCGGCCCTGCCAACATAGCTCAACAACTGCTGGAACACGATCAAAATCGAACCTCTCACCATGTTTAATAACATCTTGAAACATTTTGTGCAGGTGAAAGGCTTCTACCGGTACAATTATATCATTCAAGCCACCCTTCACCCATTCATGAACCCGATTCTTGCCTCGACGCCTGTAACCACAGCAAGTCTGAATTAAGTGACCTTTCTCGCCTACAAATACTTCTGGACAGAACCTGTAAAATTCACGATTTCCTCAAAATGGGCATACCATTCAACAGACTGTGATATGAAATCATGATATTTCTATGCTTCATTGTGAAGATGGCATAAACATAAAAAGGTTTCTATTTCTAAAGCCAACTCACTAATTTAACTGCCAACTTGTAGCCCATTCGAAGCTAACTCGGCATCAAATATACAGAAGATCACTATGCAATGTCCAATGTAATATGAAGGTGTCAATACCAAAAGAAAAATTTTACAAGTTTTTTGCAAACCAACAATTTAGGAGATACTTTTCCCTCTTTTAGGTTCATTGCTGTCGTCGACACTACACAAATCACAAATCAGTAAGCAGCATTCACAAAATGAAAAATTTTATCATTTTAAATTTCGTAAGTTTAAATTCAGAGAACCATTGATTAAAGCATTCTAAAATGAGCAATTTTGTTGTTGGATATATACATAGGTTCATGCTGACTTTTTTAGAGAGAATCTGATATGGCATTATTTTGATAATATGGGCCTTGATGCGGCGACTTACTTGCAGGTGACAACAGAAAAAACTCTGAGAAGCGTGGAGACGCCTCGGATGAGAAGAGCTCTTGCACTAAGAACCTCTTCTGCTACTGGAATCATTGCCGGAACCGGATAATCCTTTGCTCGATTTTCAATTCTCTTCAGTATCATAGGTCGCAACTTTTTCAAGTCAACTTTCGAGCTATAAAACCGCGGTTGCATAATGTAGCTACTAACTTCTCCTAAAAGATTCCGATACAGTTCCCATCTCAAAGACGCCATTAAATTATCACAGAGACCCTGCATCAAACATTTGGTGGGCAACAAAAAAGGGAAAGAAAGTCAACAAAATGATATTCAATTCTCAATGTGCAAGTAATCCGAACAAAAAGAGAGAAGAAACGTCGTATAAGCTGTTCGAATTCGAACAAATTGGAACACCCAGAAGTAATTTCAAGTGATATTAAAGCCATGTAGTAGATTGCAAACGAATTGAGTGGCTAATTCATAAAAAAAATCAGAAATTTAGTTGGTAGGTAACGAAATATATGCGAAAATAATTTACTTGGGCGGAAGCAAAAGGTCGAGAGGAAAAGGGGTTTAATTTTGATAAGCTGCCACGCGATCAGAAGGTTGAAGAAGCTGTTTGGCGGAAGGGAAAATTCGTGGCTGAAATAAGCCGTTGTCTTCAACAAGCACGATTCCGAATCAAAGGTAGAGTGAGAGACGATGCGATGCGAAGAGGCTTGAGCAATGGAGGTGTAACAATCCGACCACCTTTCATCTCTGTATCTCTCGAGTCTTTTGTCGAACAAATTGTTTCGGCGTAAACCGGAAATCGGTAGCATGGGCTTGAAACTGGGGAGCTATAGAATAGGCGGCGAGAAAATGGGCCTAACGTGGGAGGGCGTAACAGCAAAGGTGTAACAATTGGAAATACCCACGTAAATTCTTTTTTTCCTTGACATGTTTTTCCATATAATTAATATGATAAGATAATATATATATATAGTATAGAAAATATTTGAAAAAATATATATATATACACAAAATTTTCAAATTAATTATTCAAATAATTTGTTTATTAAAATACCCAGATTTTTTGGACGTGTAATTTACCTAAAAACTATTAGCATATGACATATGATAGTATCTTCAAATATCTGTTTATTCTAATAGATAGATAATAGACCATGGAGGTTCTGAAGTATTGTTTTGTGGAAAAATAATTAAATAATATTTATTTTAATTTAATTATTATAATTTTATTATTTCATTAATAAATTAATTTTTTAATTTTATTAAATTAAATATTAAAATTAATCATTTCTAATTTATAATTAGATACTCAGTAAAATATGATATTCATAACTTATACAAGTAAAATATAAACATCTTTAAATCATCTTTTAACCTGTCTGTACCATACGAGCAAAAGTTAAACGATTAGTGATACGTGTAAGTCAATAATGGACGTGACTGGCACACCCTTTAGCATGCAGACAATTCTAAAAGATGATGTTTCAATATTTACAAAAGCAAGTACTGCCATCCACCAATTTCTCCCATTCTTATCTTCTACCGCACCCACTAGAAACCAAATTCCAGAATACAGAAAACACTTCACTGGAAAGGAGCTAGCTTTAGAGAGAAGAACGATGAAGATCGAGCTGGTGTTCATCCCCATGCCCGGCGTCGGCCATATGGTCTCAATCGTCGAGATTGCCAAACTCCTCTTGAACCGCGATGAGCGACTTTCCATCACTCTTATCATCATGAAACCACAATTCAATGACTCATCCATTGACTTTTACATCCAGTCATTGAATTCCTCCACCGTGACTGATCGCATCAGCTTCATCTACCTCCCAGTTCTTGACCTCTCCAGTTCTGAAAACAAAACCGAAAGAAGATCTCTCTTTTCTTACATCGAAGCGCACAAACCATCTGTCAAAGAAGCCGTCAGTAATCTCGCTCTCTCCGGCTCGCATCGTTTAGCCGGGTTCGTCATCGACATGTTCTGCACATCCATGATTGACGTGGCAGACGAATTCGGCGTGCCCAGCTACTTGTTTTACACGTCCAGCGCTTCTTATCTCGCACTCGAGCTTCATCTCCAATCTCTCTACCATGACCATGGCGTGGACGTTACCGAGTTCAGAGACTCGGATGCTGAGTTTCTAATCCCGGGTTTTGTGAACCCCCTTCCTGCTAAGGCTGTCTTGCCCGGTGTCATGTTAGACAAATTTTATCTCAATCTTGTCATGAATAACGTTCGAAGGTACAAAAGAACCAAGGGGATTATCGTCAACTCGTTTATGGAGTTAGAATCTAATGTGTTAAACTTATTTTTTGATAGCAAATTCCCTTCTCTATACCCAGTTGGACCCATTCTCAATCTCAAGGGAAACAGTCGTGATTCGAAGAAGACTGAAACTGAGAAATTTGATGATATTATAGCTTGGCTCGATGATCAACCTCCGACGTCAGTTGTGTTCCTGTGCTTCGGGAGTATGGGAAGCTTTAGTGAGAATCAAGTGAAAGAGATAGCAGACGCGCTAGAAAAGAGTGGGCACCGGTTTCTATGGTCCCTTCGTCAACATCCGGGAAAGAGTAAGATGTCGGTCCCCGGCGAGTACGAGAATCCGGCGGAAGTTTTGCCGGAGGGATTTTTAAATCGGACGGCTAAGATGGGGAAGATCATAGGATGGGCGCCACAAGTGGACGTGCTGGGCCACCCATCAATCGGAGGGTTCGTGTCTCATTGTGGATGGAATTCGACGCTGGAGAGCTTATGGTTTGGAGTGCCCATGGCGGCGTGGCCACTCTATGCAGAGCAGCAATTTAATGCGTTTATGGTGGTGGTTGAGTTGGGAGTGGCGACGGAGATTAAGATGGATTACAGGAGAGATTTTTTGGTGGGGGAAGAAGAGGAGATCGTGAGTGCTGCAGTGATAGAGAAAGGGATTCGGTGTTTGATGGAGCAGGATAATGAGATGAGGAAGAAGGTGATGTTACTGAGTGAAACGAGCAGGAAGGCTTTGATGGACGGTGGATCTTCCCACGCTGCATTGGCCCAGTTTATTCAAGACGTGAAGGACAACATGCCGTCACGTGACATGTAATATTTAATTTATTTTGATTTTTATAATATAATATTTAAATAATTATAAAAGTTAAAAAAAAAAGAAATTAATTTTTGAAAGGAGAAATTAAAAATTCCATGATTTTTTTATGTAACAAAAATAATTTTAGGACTAAAATCAAATTTGAAATAAGTTCAAAGAGTGGAATGATAAGAAGGTATGTAGGAGATTTTGTAGATATATATCTTTAAAGTTGGCATTTTGGTGTCAAATATTTAAATATATACATTTGTAGACATATAGCTCTAATAAGTTCGAGGCAAAAGAGGAATCTAGGTATTTAATTTAATTTAATTAAAAAGAGTTTGTATTTTAATTATTTGATGTTGGAGAGTAGATATATGAATGGATTGATTCTATAAATGTAATTGACTCTTTAATTTTTACATTTATAAGTTCTTGTATTTCAGTTCTGCTAAAAACTATATAATACAAATATATAAGTAAAAAATTAATGATATATTATTATAATTTTTATAAATAATATAACAACCTGAATGTCAATATCATTGAGTATAGACGTTATCATAATATTTTCAATTAATGGAACATATAAAATATTAAATATGCAATAAAATTAC